TAGATTTTGATACGAGATATTAGCCCCCAAGTGGAGGGAACCGAGGAAACTCTAGAGTGAGAGCTAGGATCTTTCCTGCCTAACCGGTCTTTAGAATTATTCAAATTTTAAATTAGCCAATGTTCTTTATAACATCTCTAGTAAGGGTAAAGAATAATTTTGCTCATATTTGGCACAACACAATTTGAATACTTGAATACTTGCACAACATAATTTCTATACTTATTACTGATTCATGATAAGGAGAAAGATATTTCGTATTCAATGTTTTCCTTTTACATAAACTTAAGTTATCTTTAATAAGTTTTTGTTTCATTATCAAACATTTTTATGTTAATTTCAAACATTAAGAATACCAAAAAGACTATAAATTTTATTCCTGTGATAAAAACTATAGTTTAAGTATGTCTTTTTAAAGTAGAAAGTTTATTACTTTAATTATCGCATATTGTATTCGAGGCTTAATCAAAAAGTTTTATATTACTTGATAATGATACGTATACTTGCAAAGTATCCCAATATATATTAAGTTAAAAAGTTAAATTTTTATTTTTTTCAGGATCAATTTTTTGGTATTGTTGCAAAGTAAGAAAAGATAAGTGAAAAATATAATCAAATACATTGTTATACTATTGCATATAAACAGTCGGGATCACACAACCACACCAAAACATCCACATCAACACATCCACAAACCACACCACCACCTCCACAAAAATCTTCTGTACCACCACCTCCACACCACCCCAACACATCCACACACCACCATCTCCACATCACACAATCATCTGACACCACCACACAAACACATCCACAACAACACACCACCTCCACACCACATTCCAATGCATCTACAAACCACACACACCAATGCATACACAAACCACACCACTGCCTCCACACCATCACCTTATCACTACACAACTACCCTACACCAGCACCTCCACATCAAACAACTCTACGACACTAGCACCTCCACACCACACAAACACATCCACACACCACTACCTCCACACCACACCAACACATCCACACACCACCACCTCCACACCACACAACCACACCAACACACCCACACACCACACCACAAGCTCCAAACTACACAGTAACATATCCACAAACTACACTGCCACCTCCTCATAACACAATCACCCTACATCACCACCTCCACACTACACACTACCACGTCCACACCACACACCACCACGTCCACACCACACCAACACATCCACACACCACCACCTCCACACCACACAACCACCCAACACCATCACACCAACACATTCATACGCCACACCACACACCAACACATCCACAATTCACGCCACAACCTCCAAACCGCACCAACATATCCACACACCACCACATACAAACCACACAACCACCCAACACCACCACACCAACACATCCACATACTATGCCACAAACTCCAAACCACACACCAACACATCCACAAACCACACATCACAACCTCTACAACACACACGAGTTATCTCACATAAATTCTAGTGAAATTGGAAATAGCAACATACAAATCCAGCTAAAATTCCGACTGAAATTTAAAATTCATTTTGACCATACTCAACACATACAAAGGAACTAAAATATTGTTATTAACAAATCCAACACTAAATTCCAACCACATTTCAAATTTCCCACTCAAATATCAATGTTCATAAGGATATCCAAATTCCCCACAGCATAAGCACTAAAGAAATCGAACATACCACATGCAGGGGGCTCGAAGCATTGCTAACAAGGTAAAGCACCAAAAATCCAAAGATCTCCCAAAGCACCAATCAAACCAACATTGCATCGAAGGCATAAACCAAAACCCATTTGGATGCAACATGAATCATCAAAACCACATAACATAACATATCAAACCGAAAATCACAAAAAATGAGCAAACAAAGACCACCAAAATCGAGCTAAAAGATGAAACCAACCAATATAAGGCGCACAACCACATAGAGAAGACAGAAAAGATGTGAAGAACAGAGAAGAAAAGAAGAAAAGGGAGAGGGCATGAGAGAATGCACAGCTCAACGAAATAACCACCAACCAAAGTGATATACCAAACAGAGCACAGCTCAACGAAATAACCACCAACCAAAGTGATCTACCAAACAAACAGAAGGACTTTCTCCACCACACAGAGCACATAGTGCATAAAACCACCAAAATTCGAGCGAAAGAAATGTGCAGGAGAGGGAGAAGAATGAAAGGGTCACCGAAATAACCACTCGCACCCGAAAATAGCCAACCATAAAAATGTCTAGCCACCGGAGCCACCGATACACAGGAGAGAGATACCTAGTCAGAAGAATCGCAGGAGAGAGTGGGGCCGAGAGAGATGAAGGTAACGTTAGAAGATGAGTCGCGAGGTAAATATGTCCGCGATTAAAAGAGGAGAAACATGGGCCACATGGTCGAACCCACGACCACATTTTAATGAATTTTTTAAGAACCGCTGCCGCACGCGAGAACCAGACGCATGAATTTGCATTTTTGGGTCAAGCTGTGCGAAAAACGCGGCGCCATATGGACCCTTAATTGAGATCATGAGCTTTAATAAATGAATCCAACATCATGCTATTCAAGTTTGTTCATTCAACAAATGAAGATTTACAAAATTATTTAAATCTATTTGATTAATTTATCAAACATTCATGAACAAACACTAATCAAGTCAAGCAACAAGTAAATTATTAAATGCACTATTCATTTATAATCCTAGATTATGAAGATAGCACTGGAGAAATAACCAAAAGGCCCCAAGCCATCTGTGAAGAAGGGTAAGGGCAATAACGGTAAGAAGCCAATGGCCTGCCTGCAAAATGCTTTTGATGCCTCATATCAAAACAAGTGGGATAGGATCACCTTCAACTACGTGACATAGAGCTCATCAACAATCATTCGCTTAGATGAATATAGATGTACAATCGTCAGCATATAATCCAATTAATTATTATATATCTCGGCCATCGCCACAACTAATTAATTGTCAACTCTCCAATTCAAAAATATTTCCATCAATTTTTTTTTTTTTCGAGTAATATGAATATTTGCCATACACAATCGAGACTTAGTCATCGCCTACATTGTTCATCTAGATAGCGTACACATCTGGCTGCATGCTTCCCCTTTTTAATGATAATTTATATAATATTTTTTGAACTTCAGAAAAAATAGAATACAAGTTGACTTTTTTTTCAACATAAATACTCGTGTCTACTGACTTTTTTTTATTACAAAATAAATAAAAAATAATCACAAATGAAGCCTAAGGAAAAATTATTCCGTGCAGACACCACATGCAGAGATGCATACGGTGTCTGATCTCCACCGTCCATCACGGCTTCGGTAGGACTTTAAAAAAAAAACATTAAAAATAGGTCCCAACAAAGCCGTGATGGACGGTGGAGACCGAATGAGTTATATATCTCGGCCATCGCCACAACTAATTAATTGCCAACTCTCCAATTCAAAAATATTTCCATCAATATTTTTTTTTTAGGTAATATGAATATTTGCCATACACAATCGAGACTAGTCATCGCCTACATTGTTCATCCTGATAGCGTACACATCCTGTTGCATGCTTCCCCTTTTTAATGATAATTTATATAATATTTTTTTAACTTAAAAAAAATAGAATACAAGTTGACTTTTTTTTTTTCAAAATAAATACTAGTGTCTACTGACTTTTTTATTACAAAATAAATAAAAAATAATCGCAAATGAAGCCCAAGAAAGGAAAAATTATTCTGTGCGGACAACGCATGCAGAGATGCATGTGGTGTCCGATCTCCACCGTCCATCACCGCTTTCGTAGGACTTTTTAAAAAAAATATAATTAAAAGTGAATCCTAACAAAGCCGTGATGGACGGTGGAGATCGGACACCGCATGAAAAAATAATTTTTCCTAAGAAAGAATTGCAAAAAGATATATTTGCAACAACCACCCCATAGTCGAGCGAAAGATGGCTGTGCACACGACAGCAGAACCTTTTTTTGCATGTCACTACAAAGGAGAGAATTTTAACCGAAATCAACCATTCACAGTTTTATTTTAATTGCCAGTTATCACATTTCTGAAGCAACCAAGAGAATCTTTCTTCAACAAATAATAATAAAGAAAACAATTCCCGCGCACGCCATAGTTTTACTAATTATAAAATCAACATCCAACTAATTCCATTAACTTCACTAATTGAAAATTAATCATGACAAGAGCAAAAATACTTTCTTTTTTCCTCTTTGAATAATGATAATTTCATAAATAGTTAATTTCATGTGGCATTTGTGTAAATTTTCAAAATAAAATGTAACAGTATAAAGATGTACATTACAATCTTGTTCGGAAATTTAGTAATGTATAATTCAAAACATGTAAATTTAATTGATGATGAATCACACTATAATCTTTCATATTACGATAAGGTTCCTCATGAACCGACACTGACCCTTAAAATTAAACTCTAGCTCAAGCACAATTAATTAATCAAACTCAAAACTCAAACAAAAGATGGATCGAGTTTGGCTTGGCTTGGCTTGTACAAGCATTTCTATAGTTTCCTAAAACATATTTAAAAAAATATATATATAATATAACTTATTAAATTAAACATTAACATTAATTTTAATGTTTAAAAAGCATCTCAAACTCCCATAAAAGTGCACAAGCCTCTCATGACAGCCGCCGCAAAACGCATGTAATAAGGAAGATTTACATAAAAACCACTCAATCCAATGTATTTACATAACACCCTAAAATCAATTTCTACACTTTACCTATGCATGAAAAGGTACATTTAACATTTTCAAGATTAAAAATGGAGGTACTAATTATTTGATATTAAAGATTTGGGTTAATGTAAAAAAGCAAAGTTTAGGTGTTAGATATGTAAATATATATGAGTTCGGTGGTATGTATGTATGTAAATGTCCCATAATTAAAAATCATACAGCTCTTTGAAATAGAAGAAAATGCTCATGAAAACAAAAGTTTAATAATCTTAGGTGATTGATAGTGGAGATTTTCCGGAAAATAACAGGATTGCAGCATGCTGCAAAGAAGAGCATCTACAACCTACTCATATATAACAAAAGACAGAAGAAAAATCCACAGGAAAAAATAGTATAAACATATTTGCATCATCATGAGGCGTTAGGTAATGAAAAATAGAGCTGCTAATAATGGAAGGATTGGAATTGCTCACCTCTATACAAACTTCTCTATGGAGGTAATCAATGCGCTCTCTGGAACAGCCCCAATGACAGCATCTTTCTTCTCCCCGTTCTTAAATATGATGATCGTTGGGATGCTTCGAATGCCGTATTGGGTGGCGATTTCCGGGCTTTGATCTGTATTAAGCTTAAAGCACTTCATTTTGCCTTCATATGTCTTTGATAGTTTGGCGATGACCGGAAGAATCATGCGACAGGGGCCGCACCACGGAGCCCAGAACTCGACCATCACAGGTTTATCAGACTCCAAGATCAGTGATTTCCAGGTTTCTTTGGTCACATCAGGCACTGCGATGGCATCAAGATTCAACACAGGTGTGTATGATATATTGTGCACAGAAAATAACAATCATCCTATACTAGATATAAGATTCGGAGAGCTTTAAAGGGTTAAAGGCTATGCATGGATGTACAAGTCTTATTAGCCCATTCATTGAAGATTCCTAAAATTAACATTAGCCAATGCTTTTCTTTATTTTGCAATCTCTATAATCTAAATCTATCGGATAAGCAAAATATCATTTTCCTATTGCTAGAATCAATGAACTCACTTAGATAAAAATATTATTTTCTTCGAGTCATGGCATCTTTAGTTAGCCATTTTCCTTCAAATCTATTTTACATATATCATATATAAATATTTTATTCAGTTCATCTTTTTCACTGAATTGTACATGCTCAAACCAAAATAATTTAATATTCACTATCTAAAACATAACTGCATTCCATGTTATGAATAGGAAATTAATTTTCACTACTACATCTTAAAACTCTCCATATATAAAGCAAGATCATAAGATCTAATAGTGGGCTTTTCCATTATTAGACTTATAAGGCCTAATTCAATGCTCGATCCCATATATTCAAAGGGTATAGTTGACACAGCCTATTGTCTAATAATTATCCAAGGCCTAATCATCTGCATATATAGTGCAAAATAAATATGGCTTATAACTCAAACTGTTCATACCCAAAACTATATGAATGATAGAGTCGACAAGGCCTACAACCAATACTATCTCAAATTCCAGCCCTTTAACATGGGTAAAAGAGTCGAAAAAACCAAACAAAGACGAAGAAACATTGAGCACAGAATAAGTGATGCAAGCAAGATTCCTAAGCTAGCTTCAACGGATGGGTAAATATTAAATATCATCGATAATAGTAATAGAAAAATTGCAAACAAAGGATAAGGTTCACATGTGCTCTTTATTTATAAAAAAAAAAGGGATAAGGTTCACATCAACTAGTGCATAAAGTTGGTCTCAATTTGTGTGCCAATATGCTCAATACCTAAATACTAAACCATGACAATCAAGCTCAACCTTACAAAATTTATTCTAGAAATCAATCAATACATAAACTAAATTTTACTCAATTGTTGATCCACTGCCACAAAACAAATGTAAGTGTGCTCTGATCTTTCATCCCATTTAATATACAAAATCATTGAAAATCATAATTAGAGGGTGCCTTTACCAAAAAAAAATCATGTGTTACATACCTTCAAAGAATAAAAATTCTCACTCTTATGAGGAGCATGTTTACATATCATAGTTGAATTATTTCATGAGCTTATTCTCAATTCCTTGAATTTACTATCCTTTCAATTCTTCTTTCTGAGTTCACAATCAATCATCTACTAAATAATTCTATACAACTTTTTTCTTAAGATTATTTTGTATGAAGAGTTGATGTCCATGATCAGTCGTGGATTTCAACGAAAGCTATCAAATTGCTGTAATATAATACTTTGCAAGAAGCACAAAACATATATTTAAATATTTTTAAAATTAGCACAAAAATTCATTTCATCAGGTTCATTTTTTTTCAATATGGGTAGATTGATATGGAATTACCAAGGTCGGCGGCTTATAGGGTTATTTGTTTTTGTGATATATTGGCTTAGGCAGTAGAGTGATTGTAGACTTTACATTATCTTATTTCAAGCTATATTTTCAATAGCATTGTTTCCCTTTGGTGATGGAAAAAGATATAAGATTCAAGTAGTGGAGACTGGGCTTAAATATTTTTAGAGCTTAGTCGCTTACTGCAGTCAGAATGATTGGTTGATTTTAAGGGAATGAGTACTCTGTTCGGGAGAGCCATCTGACAGCACCACGTAAAATTTACCGAGTTGTTACGAAATCAACAGTTCATGGGCTGGCATTGTTTTTACATAGACTAGTTTCATCTATTTGTGTCAACGCGGTGTATAGATTAGTTTCATCTAAGTGTGAACGAGGTGTCTAATGGTCTTGAAGTTGTCTGCATGCAGAGTCATCCTATAGGTTTGTAGGGTTTGTGGTTTCACAAGCATAAACTTCTTTTCAAAAGAATTGGCAATTCCCACAGCTTTAGCTGGTTCAATCAGCCAAAAGGCATACCATAAATCTGCCACTTAAACCAATTCAGATTTGGAAGGCTAGAATTTTCAGGAACTACATGTTTATAAATAGAATTAAAGCATGGAATTTGAGAACTTTTGGCCAGAATAATTTTTTTTGCAATGCCAGCCTTGTGAGGGCAAATTGGATATATAATTCATTTGAATTTATCATATGAAGAAAAACAGATATTTAATGGAAATGATCTCATTGTACCATCATAACATAATGTTTACTTTGGTAATGTCATCCATTATATTTTTTTATATAATTTGTTATTGGCTATTTGGTGTTCATGCTTTGGTCAAAAAGTGATATATAAGAAATCTGATTTTGTGAAAAATTAATTCATTTGCTAACCAGATTTACTTTACTTCCAAAGTATTGTTGAAATTCTCAAAATTGTGGGATCATTTCATTATCACTTGGGCTTAAAGATTATAATTCAATGTTTTGATTTAAGGATAACAAGTACTTGGATTGATTAATATATTGTAAAAGATAAATGCTCAAGTTCCAATGCATCAATGCATAACAAATATCAAACCTTACGAAAGCCCTAATGTTGAGTCATCATGCATCAAATATGAGTTTTAGGGTTTGTAATATTGATCTGTTATAAATACTACAAAACCATGCAACAACCACACAAAATTCATATGCCATGAACTCCTAACCTTTAACAAATATTCTTTACCTGATGACAATCGAAACATTCTGAAACTCAATTCAAAAGAAATTCAATTGCCTTTTTCTAGAAATTCAAAATAAAAAAAGTCACACAAATGCTTTGCAAAGTATTTGTTGAAAACAAGACTGTCAAACATGGATAAAATTAATCACAATGCCAAACCAAAAACAGCATACAAAAAATAAAAAATAAAGACCAAGAAAGTTGAAAAAGTGAATAATTTATCAACAAAAAAAGTAAATCACTTGTATATTGAGAAAACTTATGCTTGAACTCATCAGATCTCTCACTTGATTAAGGTATTGAATCTCAATAATACAAGGAATCACATAAGAGTTGAACATCACTCAATGACCAATAAGGTTGCAACTGAACGACATAGTTGATGGGTGACTTCAGGTCTCCCAAAGACCTGACTACGGTGTTCTCTTCTGGCTGCCTCAACTCACATTTCAACAAGAGCTACTCAAACTCCGTTGTGAACTCCTCTAATGAAAACTCCTGATGTAAGTGATGTACCATCAAGAACATGTCCTGGGGTAGTGTGGGATTAGATACTTTCTTAGTATCTCCTTCACCTTCTCCCTAGGCGTGATATTATTCCTATCTTCTCCCTATTTCACTCTCTTATGATTCTCCCACAACAAAGAGACACTCTTCTTCAACTTTATGGTAAGTTCCTGATCAGCTTCCGACACTTGTCTCCTCGGTGGCATAACTGTAGTTTAGATTTGGGAGGTGATTGAGGGTGTTTGAGGCTGATTTAGGGTGTCGGATAAAACTTATGATTGTTGCTTTTAAAATCAACAAAAGGGATTAATGTTAGGTCAATATTTGGTGGATTTAAGTCACCCTAGAATGAAACTAGTGTTAGGGTAGCTCTGATACCAAATGATACAAAAATTAAAAGAGCACTCAAAGGAAAAAAAATATTATTACTGAATGCAAAATCTAAAATTATAACGAACAGGGGGTTGCCAAAGGGCAATATGTGTGATTTGAACTCGAGACCTCAAAGTGGAATACTATAACCTCAACCACTAAACGTCAAATAAACTCTTAAATAGACCTACTATTATTAAAAGTGGGCCCCACTCCAATTAGGCGGCAACCCTAGGCCTAAAGAGAGCTGACAGACCCTCCCTTAACACTAACTAAATTGGTCCAGGGTCCCCCCAGCTACCAAGTTACTTTGAGTGCTCAAGAAACTAACCCATTAGAATTTATTGTTTCTTTTACTCTTCAAGATCAATGTAGTTAACAAACTTTTAACTTCTCCCATTTCATTTCGCATACTACAATGCAGCCAGTTCACCCAGTTCCCTTTCATATAAAGAATAAAAACATTGATGATGTTGCCCAGGTAAAGCGTCATAGGTAAGTAAACTGCTAGTTCTTTTTCTTTCACATAGTCACCTTTCATAAATATTCATTTAGCTCATCAAACATGATCGACAATTAAATATATCATTAAAAAATTGAGGCCATATCTTCTTCAATTTAATTCATCTAAAACTCGAAGTAGTGTATATATGTGTCGGTTTGATTCTCCACTCATCTTAAATAGAAAAATACTAGGAAGAAAAATAATCATCAGTTGTTTCTTTAAACAATTTTGCCATCAAAGACTCGAGCTTCACCAATTCCTTTTCTAGCAGTGTCTTTTTTCCTTCACATCCGTCTAGTATCTTCCAAATTTACATTGTTTGTTTGCTCTTTAACAGTAATTCAAAATAATTTATCTGGACAGTTGAGTTTCTATAAAATCAAAGTATATTTTTTACCGAAGCTAAACTGTTTGATAGAATTGAGTGAAGTTAATTTCCAACAAAAAAAAAAACAAAAAAAAATCATTGAAACTTTCATCAGTGTGTTATGTAATTGTTCATAACTGATCATTTGTATTGTTTATATATTTAAAATATCTAGTAAAACAATTTCTCTATGATTTACTTTTTCTTAAATAGATTTTTAAAGTTATGGGAGAGAATAATTGAACATTGGTTATGACGTGATACAAAAAAAAGTTTAAATCAAAATGTATTCATGTCGAGCAAGTCTACTAAGGGAAGCTATACATTTATTGGGGGATGAAGAAGTACAAAGAGAGTAAAAAGAATCTACATATGATTCTTGTTGATTAAGAGAGAGTAAGGAGAATTTACATATGATTTTTGTTGATTAAAAAAAAGCTTATGATAAAGTTCCAAGATAAGTAATTTGGAGAGTTCTATAAATGAAAAGAGTTGACATTGCTTATATTCAACTAATTAAGATATGTATACTAAAGATTTTACTTGTGTTTGAACACAATGAAGATTTACTAAGTATGTTCCAATTTTAGTTAGATTGCATCAGGGTTCGGCTTCAAGCCAATATATTTTTGATTTAGTCATGGATGTTCCTATTGGACATTTACAGGAGGATGAACATTGGTTTATGTTTTTCACTGATGATATCCTTCTTTTGGATAAGATTAGAGAAAGTAAGTTTAGAAAAAACTTGATTTATGGAGGTCAACTTTAGAATCTAAAGGTTTTTGCTTGAGTAGATATAAAACTGAATACATCGAATGTAATTTTAGTAGTAGTAGATCTAGTGGCAGGCTTGTAACAATTGGTGATCCACTCATTAAAATAAATGAACATTTTAGACATCTTAGGTCTGTTGTTCCAAATGATGGTGAAATAGTTAGGGATGTTATTAGTAGAATTTAAGTTGGATGGTTGAAGTGGATGAATGCAGCAGGCATATCATGTGATAGAAAAGTACTACTTAAACTTAAAAGAAAATTTTATAAGATGGTGGTGAGAGGACCTGCAATGCTTTATGGTGCAAAATATTAACCTATAAAAGAGAGGCATAAAAATAAGTTAATTGTTGCTAAGATGAGAATGCTCGGGTGGAAGAGTGGATTTACACTTAGAGACAAAATGCGAAACTAATATATCCGTGAAAGGGTTGGAGTAGCTCTAGAGACTGACAGGATTAGAGAGAGTCGCCTTAGTTGGTTTGGTCACATCAAATATAGACCATTTGATGACCTTGTTAGGAGAGTAGATGTTTTAAATTTGACTTGTGTTAAAAAAGTAGAGATAGACCTAAAAAGATTTGGGCAAGTTGTATAAAAATAATCTTATTTTATTAGAATTGAATGTAAAAATCACACTCAATAGAACCAAATGGAGAAAAAGAATTCATGTAGCCAACCCCAATTAGTGGGACAAAGGCTTCTTGTTGTCGTTTTTGTTTTTACAGATTTTTTTCTATATTTTCTTATGAAAACTAAAGAAGGTAAAGAATTAATTACTCTATCACTTGTTGCAACCCCGCTTTAAGTCACAATAAACATTGTCAATAATAAGTTGAGTTTATTAAAAAACCTCAATATATAAGTCACATAAACAGTGTCAAAAAATCAGTTTAGTACTTGTCCTTCATCTCCAAAAGGGGGTCTGGGATTCAAATCTTGAAAAAAAAATGTTAATAACAATTAGAAAGATTAACGCCAGCATGAAGTGTTTGAGCAGACAACAAAACTTATTTAGATAATAAACTTAGGAAAGCAAAATTTCATTAAATACGTAAAAAATATGCAGCGCCAAAAGAAATGTCGTGAAAATGAAACCAAAGTTACAGATGAGCGCAGAGTAGGAATCTAGAGCATGCAATCGTTAAATGCTCCGCATAATTGATGCCACCATCAAAACGTGATTGTAAGGGTTTATATAATTATCTCTATAATTTCTTCATTACAAAACAAATAGATAGAATCTACTATATAAGGGATACTGATATATAGAAGAGTCGAATACAATCCCCAAATTAATTCAGCTCCAGCACAATAATATCGCAATCTTACCCGAATAAAAGATCAAAAGCTTATCAAACAAAAAGAACGGAAGAACCTACCGTCCAAAGCCGTGTTCTGAGCCTCGCAAACCACAGCTCTACGGCGAGAAACCCTACCACTCGTCAGTTGCACCACAAACGAGACCCTCGAAGAACGGCATGCCACTCTCAGACCCTTGAACTCCGAAATGAGACCATGCGTGAGGCATCCTGGAACAGAAGTAGCCACCGCGCGGGAAGTAGACGCTACCACAGCGCCAGGACGAGCGCGTGGAACTGAGAGCGATTCCAACACAACAGCAGCCATAGCGGAAGCAGTATCAATATGCGGAAATCTCGGCTTCTGAACCTGGAAGGAAGATGGGAGTATGAGGGATGAGGAACCCTAGATTTTGGGGAGCAATTGTGGTGGTGATGAGGGAGCTCTCTGTTGATATGTAGGACCGGAGGCCTGGCTCAGATTGGATAAAGGATGAGTACCACAGCCAGATGAGCCCACAGGCCACCGTTGTGTGGCGGTGGCTGATCGTGTAGCCACTGCCCCGTTCCGGAGAAAACTTTGCTACAGCAACGGCTACAGCAACGGACGGTATCGTTTGGCCGGGCTTTAAGTCCGATTTGGGAGCAGTTGAATACAGATTTATTAAATTTATTTATTTTTTAATTCATTAAATTCAAATTTAACTTGAATTGAATGTAAAATTTGAACTTTAAACACGAAATTTCATAAATTCATGGAAGTTAAACTTTCTTATGTTTGGTTGGATTCAATAAATTCGGACAATAAATCTATTAACAAGGCACTAACCGATACCCCCTTTCGGTGTGTTTGAGAGCATTTTCTAAGTGTTTTTCATTTTGAAAAGTTGATAACAATTGTTGGGAGCCAAGTTTCCGGATATGCCCATTTTGGAAATGGTGAAGTCGTGAACAGCAGCCATACCCTCAGTTGTGCGGTTATAATCGTAGTCTGGGATTGCATTTACCATCTTTCCTTTCTTCAATTTGTTAATTAATTTGTTTTATCCCCTCTCCTCCTCCCTCTCTTCCGCTTTGCAGTATATATTCGGTGTTAGGCCACATTTGTGATCCTCTTCTCTTCTCTCATGTATTTGATATCGCATCTCTCTATGTATCTCTAAAACACTTACGTCCTTTATTGGTTTCTTCTGTGGTTGGGGTTTATTGCTCCTATTTTTATTCATGTGATTGTGCCTTAGGGATTCTCAGTTTTCTTAGGTGGTGGTTTTTGGTGTTTCTTGTTTAGCTTATGTGGTTGTGTCATTCAGGCTTTATGGTGGTGGCTTGTTGCTTCTCATTTTTCTTCTGTGGTGGTGGATTCGTGCTTCTCGTTTTACCTTAAGGATTGTATCTTTGGGCTTCTCAGTTTTTTGATGTGGTGATAGTTCGACGCTTCTCCTTTTACCATGTATGTATGCATTGGGGCTTCTTTGCTTTCCTTTATGGTAGTGTTTTAGTGCTTCTCGTTTAATTTATGTGGTTATGTCATTATGGCTTCTCGTTTGTCGTATGTGGTGGTGGTTTGTTGCTTCTAATTTTACCAATGTGAATCTTCCTTAGGGCTTCTCAATCTTTCTCTGTGTGTTGGTTTGGTGTTTCTCATTCTACCTATGCGATTGTCTCTTTGCTCATTGGAGCTTCTCGATTGTTCTATGTGGTGATGGTTTGGTGCTGAATCTTCCTTAGGGCTTCTCAATCTTTCTCTGTGGTGTTGGTTTGGTGTTTCTCATTCTATCTATGCGATTGTCTCTTTGCTCATTGGAGCTTCTCAATTGTTCTATGTGGTGATGGTTTGGTGGTTCTTATTTTACCTATGTGAAATTATCATTGCCCATTAGAGCTTCTGGGTTGTTCTATGTGCTGGTGGTTTGGTGTTTCTCATTTTACTTATGTGCTGTGTCAAGGGGCTTCTCAGTTGTCATATGTGGTGTTGGTTTGATGCTTCTCATTTTACTTATGTCGTTATGTCATTAAGGCTTCTTGATTAGCGAGTATGGTGGTGGTTTTTGTGCTTCTCATTTTACTTATGGTTGTGAAATTAGGACTTATTGGTTGTCCTATGTGGTGGTAGTTTAGTGCTTACTGTTTTCCCACATATGTTGTGTCTTGAAGCTTGTCAGTTTTCCTCTATGGTGATGGTTTATTGCTTCTAATTTCATCACAGTTGTTGTGCCTTGGGGTTTCTCGTTGTGTTATGGGTATGGTAGTGGTTTTAGTTGTAGCAGTGAACTTTACTCTTAAAGCCTTAAGGTAAAATCATATATGTAAACATATAGTAAGTAAAATTCTTTATATGTTTCGTGCAACATCCTAAGATGGAGTGATATGTTTGATTGTTGTGGGTGTAGTCTGATGGTTTGGTGGTCTCTCTTGCATGCTAACTATCGGTGATGTTGTGGGTGTGGTTTAGTAGTCTCTATTGGATGTTTGTTGTTGGTAGGGGTTGGCTCTAGTTTTTGTTGAGGCTCTGCATTGATGGTTTTGAAGTGTGTGATTTTTACGCTTTTGGTTTTTTGTAATTTTTTTTATAGCAATTATGGAAAAAAATATATAGAGCCAACCATTCGCCAATTGTGACTTATATAATTGTCTCCACTTGTTTGTCACAGAAACTTGATACACCTAAAATATATAGTATTTATGTACACATTTTATACCTATTTTTGAGGATATTGCGCTTTAATAGAAGGTATTTGTGTGTTTTTCTTTCAGGTACACGCTTTAATAGAAGATATTTGTGTGTTTTTCTTTTAAGTATAATCAAATGGATGAAAATAAGTGAAAGGACTGAAAAAAAGTATCAAATTTGGAGCGAAAATGAAGAAGATGTGCAAAAGAACTGTGGCGCCTAAGCGCCCAGAACTTGTGCTTAGGCATCAGGGAAACCGAGAATGCCGCGCCTAAGCGCCCCATACCTCGTGTTTAAGTTCCAGATGTAGTTACTTGATGATTCAATGAATTTGGACAAATTTTTGAAGAGGTGTTTGAAGCAACTCTTGTTGAAAACGTGCGATATAGTAAATGGACACGAAAATACATTTAATTAGCTTTTGAAAGAGGCAACTTTTGGAAGATTCATTGAATGTGGACACATTTTGAAGAGACACCAAGGAACATTTTGAAAAATTATAAAAGAAAACTTGGACTGGATTGAATAACTCTCTCACACACGCCCCTCCAGCGCCTTAGGCACTCTCACACACGCCCCCTAGAGCCCCTAGAGAGAATCCTGTGCGCCCACCATAGCCACGCCATCAACACCTCTCTCTCATAGATTAATTAGGATACTTTTTAGAGACAAGAAAAGAGGAGTTGTAATGTGTGAGTAGAGAGTATTGTAAGATAAAGGAAGAGAAGAGATTCAAAGGAACTTCAAGAGTTTGGTGTAGAGAATTTGAGATAAGTTTTTATCTTTGTGACTATTTTTAATGTGACTATATTTGATTTTAATTTAGACTTCTTATTTGTTTTCATGATTTCTACTTTTGAACTTAAGTTTGTTCATGTTTTCTCTATGAATTTTAAATAGTTTTCTTTATCCTTTTCTTTAAAATGATAAGTGATTAAGTGTTGGATGAGAGTTGTGTGAAGTATTAATCTTTAATGTTGGAATAAGTTGTGATGATTTTAAACCTTGTACTTCATTTACTTCTTGATTTTGCCAATGAAGATGTTAATATTTGTTGTGAGAACATGTAAGATCTGTGATTGTATTGTCTCAGTAAACTAATGATAAGAATCACAAAAGATTGTATGGATGAGAATGTAATTCATATGGTTGAGTGCAAATAAATAGAAAAATAAATTTTGAAGAGTGTAGAATTAGAGGGCTTTAGAGTGACAGGCTAAAACCCCCAATTTGGTTTATAGTTTTATATTTTGATACAAGATGTTAGCCCTTAGGTGGAGGGAAAAGAGTGAACTCTAGAGTGAGAGCTAGTATCTTTCATACCTAGCCCGACTATTCAAACTTTAAATTAACCAATGTTTTTTATAGCATCTCTACTAAGGGTAAAGAATACTGTTGCTTCTATTTGACACAACACAATTTGAATACTTCTATAACATAATTTCTATACTTGTTACTGATTAATGATAAGGAGAGAAATGTTTTATTTATATTTCCTTCATCTTACGAATATCTAGTTAAATTTAGTTAGTTGTTTACTTTATTTTCAATTATAAAAAATATAAAAAAGAATCAAACTTTAATTCTTATTATAACATCTACAGTTTGAGTAGTACAGTCTGAGTAGGAATATTTTGCAAAGTAGAATTTGTTATCTAATTTCTTCTGACTTATTTAAAGATAGAAATTCTCCCCGTAGGTTCAATATCCGAGATGCATAGTATCCCATATTTAAATATAATAATTGCATTCTTATTTGCTTTAAAGTCAAGTTTTTGGTGCAGTTGCAAAGTAAGAAGTATAAGAATAACGATACACATACTTGTATAGTATCTCATATTTTAATATAATAATTGCATTCTTATTTGCTTTGACGTCAAGTTTTTGGTGCAGTTCCAAAGTAAGAAGTATAAGGAAAATTAATATTATAACTGCATACATCATACTGTCAGATAAAATCGGGATCAAGTTTTTTGGCGCAGTTGCTGGGGAGAATAAAATTAATTTGAAGAAATTTTTAGAAATAAAATTTCTTTTTTAGAAAATCTTATTTAAACTTCTAGATTTATTTTAGGAATATACTAGTGTTGTTTTTATGTAAGTTCATGTTTGTGTGATTTTATTTTTTTTGTTTCGTAGTAATGTATGTGTAGTTCATGTTTTAAAGGACAAGTGCCCTATGATTCTGAATTAGAAAGAACTATTTGAAAAATAAAAAAAAAAATCAAAAATATAGAAAAAGATAAAAAATTTTAAGAATTGTCAAACCAAAATAATCAAAATATTGAAATAAATTAAGAATTTAGACTTTTAAGAGATTCTGCAAACCCTACGGTAGATGAACTTCATTATAGTATTCAAAAACCTGTTGCAGTGGCTAATTCATTTGAAATAAAATCTTTTATTATCCAAATGATATCAAATAATCAGTTTGGAGGAGCACTAACTGATGATCCCCAACTGAATATCCAAACTTGCATCTTGCCAATTTTCCAGAATTATGTGCTACATTTAAATTTGATGGTGTTTCAGATGATGTTATAAAACTTAGACTTTCTCCTTTCTCACTGAGAGGGATAAAACTAAGATATGGTTACATTTGTTAGTACCTGGATCTAACAGAACTTGGGGTGATTTAGCACAGAAATTCCTTGCTAAATATTTTCCACCATAAAAAAACTGCAAAGTTTAGAAATGATACTACATCTTTTTATCACTTTGAAGGGGAATTTATTTATGAAACATGGGAACGATTTAAAGAACTCCTTAGAAATCATCCACAACATGCTATACCAGATTAGTTAATAATTCAAACAGTTTACAACGGATTAGCTGGATCTCTTAGATCTATTATCGATGCCGCTGCTGTTGGTTCATTGATGTTAAAACCATTTCATGACACTTATGCTTTAATTAAAGAGATTGCTACTAATAATT